ATCGATATTTTGTATATTTATCGATGAACATTCTAGGAACTGGGTATACACATTGAAGTCTTCTAAAACCTGGGTAACCTGGTTGAGAGACAGACAGGCAAGAAGCTGAAGTGTATCAGGACAGATAATGGTGGAGAATACACTGGGCCATTTGATGCTTTCTGCAAAGAGCATAGCATTCGACATTAAACAACACCTCCCAAGATGCCGCAACTGAATGGTTTGGCTGAGAGGATGAACAGAACTTTGATTGAGAGAGTCAGATTTTTACTTTCACATGCAAAGTTGTCAAAAAGATTTTGGGGTGAAGCTCTTCTTACAGCAGTAAATCGTTCACCTTGTGTTCCTCTACAGTATGATACTCCAGAAAGAGTATGGTCAGGAAAGGATGTTTCCTATGATCACTTGCGGGTGTTTGGTTGCAAAACATTTGTGCATATTCCTAAGGATGAGGGGTCTAAGCTTGATGTCAAGACTCGAAAATGTGTATTCATTGGCTATGGCCAAGATCAATTTGGCTATAAATTTTTTTATCTCCAGTCTAGAAAAAGATGATAAGAAGTAGAGATGTTGTATTTGTTGAAAATCAGACTATTGAAGATGTTGAAAAGACTCAGAAGCAAGCTGCTGATAGATATGAAGATGATTCAATAGATGTGCAAATAGTTCCTCCAACAACAAAACAAAAACAAGTTGGAGATGATGAAAATGTTCCACAGGAACAAGAGCCAGAGTTAGAAAATCCAGAAGTCCCTTATCAACATGAACCAGAAGACGATTTTGATGGTATTTATGTTCAGCCACCAGCACTAGAAGGTTCTTAAACATTAAGAAGTTCTAATAGAGTCAGACAACCATCTACTAGATATTCAGCAAATGAATATGTATTGATGACTAACCGGGGAGAACTTGAATGCTTTGAAGAAGCAATGGAAAATGAACACAAAAGGAACTGGATTGAAGCCATGCGAGATGAAATGAGATCCTTGTATGAGAATAAAACATTTGAGCTGGTAAAGTTGCCCAAAGGCAAGAGTTGCAGCAAGAAAGCTTGAAGAACAAAGTGGGTTTCGTCGAAACATACTCCCAACCACATTGAAAGCTAGACTGGTTGTGAAAGATTTAATCAAAGAGATGGTAATTGATTTTGATGAAATCTTTTCAACCATTTGAAAATGAATCCATAATTCGCAATGGCCGCCAGTTTTTAACCTGGAAATTGAGCAAATGATGTGAAGACTGCTTTTTTCTACATGGTGACTGGAAAAAAATATCATGGAGTTAGCCAGAGGTTTCATCGGGGAAAAAAGGGAAAAAGAGAATTACGTATGTAAGTTGAAAGAAAAGTTTCGTATGGTTTTAAAAACAGGCACCAAAGACAGTGGTATAAGAAGTTTGAATCTGTTTATGGGGGAGAAGGTTAAACAAAAAAGACTACTTCAGATCACTGTGTTCATAAAGAAATTCTCTCCTGATGATATACATTATTCTCTTGCTCTAATGTAATATTTGATTGTTGTCAAAAATTCTGTCAAATTTAATAATTGAATGAAACAGCTTAAAATAAAGTCTTTTGCTATGAAAGACTTGGGACCTAGCAAAGCAAATTCTTGGTTATGAAGATTACGAAGAATCGAAGGAAATAAGAAATTATGGGTTGTCCACAGGAGAAGTACATTGAGAAGTACTTTCAAAAAGGTTTCAACAATGGAGAAATGCTAAAGTGGTTTAGTTGTCCTCTTGCTAATCACTTAAATTAAGCTCAAACAGTGCCCTTTACCGATGGAGAGAAGGAAGAGATGGAAAAGATCCCATATGGCTTCAGCAGTTGAAGCTTAAATTAATTTGTACATGGTTTTTATATATAGTCGATTTCTTTCAAACCTAGAAAGGAACATTGGCTACAGTTAAATGGACTTTTCACAGATATTTCAGGTAACGCCAAAGTCATGTTATGCTTTGGAGATGAGAAAGCCAATATTATCTTATACCGATGGCAATATTATGTTGACTCGAGAAAGCCACATCAGGGTAATGCTAATCACATTTGAGGAGGAGTTATGTCATGGCAAGTCCAAGATTCAGAAAGTGCTTTGCTCACAACAACGAAAGCAAAATCATAGCACTAAACAGAAGCCGTGCAAAAGAATTGGCCTGTGGAATTGGAAAGAAGTTCTTGAATGAACTTCGAATTCATAAGGAACGGATAATTTGATATTCTGCGATAGCCAGAGTGCGAATTTCATCTTGGGAAGAATTCCTCCTTTCATTCAAGATCAAAGGCACATTGGGATGTTAGATATCATTGGATCAAGGGATGTTACTGGAGATGAAGCAAGTTACACTTTGAAGAAGTCCATACAGATGAAATGGATCAGATATGTTACGAAGACATCCTCCAAAAGACAAGTCCTGAATATTGTCGTTAGCCTGAATACATTGGTCGATTTAGTTGAAGGGATATGGAGAATATAGGTTTAACGTCCCACTTGAGGCATGGCAGGGGGAAGAATTGTTGTGGGTTGCCCACTCAAGTGGGACCCAAATAAAACAAAAAAGAAAAAGTCAAAAAGTTGGCAGCCCACTATTCCCCCCAAAAATTTGGGTTTAAAAAAACCAACCATGGATATAAATGGAGAGCGCCGTGTGTAACTCACACACGATCTCACAATACCTCTCCTATAATAGGAGAGGACTTTGCTTCATTTGAGACACACCAACTGAGAGAACAATCTCAGCATTAGAGAGTTGTCAATTTTTAAGAAAGGGTTCTTAAAACTAAAGGGTTTTAGAAAAATAGTGAGGTGTTTTTGGGAAACACTTGTGAGTGCCACTATTTTGTATTACTCTCTTTGTAAGCCTACTATTTTTAATAGTGGAAAAAATATTCGGAGTTGGTCCTGTGGATGTAGCCCTAAACAGTTGAGGGTGAAGCACGTAAATTTCTGTGTGTCCCATTTTAATTTTTCCGCTGCTTAATTATTCTCGTATTTTTATTGCTAGCATCCTAACACTTACCACATGCTTTCCTCCTAAAAGGAAGAAAATTCCCAAATTTCGAAAATAAAACTTTTCTCACCAACCTTGAGTTTGCCTATCAAAATTTCATTACTCCTAAAGAAAAAATTATCGGGAGTGTTTACCTCCTCTAACAAGTCTTTCATATCAAATAGAGTAGTCCTATGTAGAGTGTTCACTTTTTTCCCCGTTCATCAATAATACTTTGTAAATCTAAACCTCCATACTATTGGGCAAAAACTAAATACAGTGGATAATCAGCTAAATAGGTTGAAGGCGGTAGGGTATACCCCTAAAATTGAGGCTGCAATAAAAATAGGAAACACAGAAAAGAAAATCCTATTTAAACCTAAGGAAGAAAAACTTAATCTAAAACTGGCTAAAGAAGATAAGTCAGAGTTAATTGAAGAATTAACCAAAAGGTTAGCAGGCTTAGAAATAGACTGAAAGAAAAAGGCTTAGCTCCTCTAAATCTGGAGTAAGAGTCAAATAAAGAACTATCTGGCTTATAATCACCTAAAGAAACAAGTGAAGATTATCTAGAAGAACTAGAGGCTATGCTAAAATCAGCAGATACAAATCAGGTAAATAAAATAACCTACCCAAAGCCTTAGGTCGTGGTAGAAAGTAAACCTTATTACCTTAGGTCCTCTCTAATCAATATGCAATATGAAGAACCTGCATTTAATTATGTCTAATATGATGGCTCTTCTATTGTTGAGTGGAATATTGATGGACTATCTGAATATCAGATAAAGAATGTCCTTCAATACATGACTAGGTATACTACGGCATCCAAAGTAAGAGGAAATTTAGACCCAATGGTAGCAAAAGCTATAGTTGCTGGATTTACAGGCAAGCAAAGGGTGGTGGGATTTTTCTCTATCTAAAGAAGGAAAAGACCAGATAGAAGGAGCTGTGAAACAGAAAATAGTGAGAAGGCTAGGATATAAACTGGAAAGTAATTTGTTGTCCTTCTATCTCTGTAGTTATCCCTTGTTTCCATATTTCTTTTACCAGATACAACATATGTAGAAAGGGATTTCCTTGAATGATAGGATAGGACAATCCTTTTACAATTAAGAATGGTATTTGGAAACATATCCTTTATTGCAAACAACAGTATTGTTCAATTTGCATTTTACCGCCATTTTACTACTATCTTCCGTATCTAATTCCTCTACAGTTTTAGAGAAATATCTAGAAGGTACTAATCCCTCATTTATGCAATTTAGATCCGCACCTGAATCAATTAGGGTGATGGTATGAAAGACATTCTTTATGGACCACTATCGTAACTTTAGAATGCCATTTATGGGTTATTACCCCATCAACTAAATTGACAAAATGAAGATTATTTACTTCATCTTCATTTAAAGGATATCTTTTTGATCTTTCTAGATCAATTTCATCTGCTTCTTTATTGAGTAGTTCTAACATTACTATTCTTTCTTTTAGACTTTGCAATTCTAACATTACTAACATTACGATTCTTTCTTTCTTTTAGTTCTAACATTATTATTCTTTCTTTTAGACTTTGCAACTGTATTTTTACAGAGTTTAGTTCTGCTCTTAATTCTTTTATGGTGGGTTCTCGCTGCCTTTTAGCATTTTTCACCGTTTCTAAAATTTCTTATAAATTATAGGGTGTTTCCCTATCTTCCATTTTCTATTCAAGGGGTTCTTTAGAGGTAGATGCTTCTAATCTTTCTTTATTTAGATTTAACTAGTTTTCTTCATGGGCTCTTTTTTCTTCTGGACCTGTTATTTTATGTATTAGATCTAATATCATGTTATCTTCTTTGGTTAGTGCCAAAAGCCCGTTCATGGCACATACTGATTTATAGTAATCATAGTTGCCATCACAATCCGAGTTTTTATCGAACTCGTATTCCTTGTCTGTAATTAAGCAATAAGTATACATAAACCAATAAGTACCTAGGTTATTAGTAAGTTGATATAAGCAAGTTAGGAAACATCACCTTATACCATTGTAGCTCTCTTTGTCTCTTTTGGCATTCTGCAAAACGCTGCACCTGACAGATGCCAGCAAGTCTATCAGGACGTGATAACTTTGCAGCAGAATGTAATTTGTTTTCAATTACCCTTAATCAATTACTAAAATGTACTTCCTCGTACCAAGCGCATATATAATGCTAAAAACATTTTCTCGCCGATAATGAACTGCATTCATAAGTAAGTTTCTTGATTTTTTGTCGACAACAGTTAGCAGATTGGAATTGGCTTTAAGCAACTCAATTACAACTTCAACTACTCCATATTTAATCGCTCCAAAGAATGCAGCATATATTCCATTTTCTTCAAATTTAGTGTCGTCAATTGAAGATGATATGTGTTTGGCCATCAAGTGCAGAAGTTCACGAGCATAGGCATGGTTCAATTTTCTATCATAAATCTGCGTCAGACCTAAACAAACCAAAAATTGAGGAACGTAATATATTAATCTAATTTAAATTAATAATGTTTTTACTTACATATAAATATTGAAGTGTTTATATATAAATTTAGTGAAACCCAAAAACAAATAGTTAGCGATAAAAATTAGGAGTAGCATACCAAAAGATTCTAGTAACTTCAAACTGAGACTTGGCATTTCAATCATCCCTGAAAAATGAAAACAACTCCGTTAAACAATGAGAGCAACAAATTTTGAAAAAGGAAAAAAATTCCACTTATGGTTGCTTGGCAAAGCTCTATACAATGTACATATATATAAACTACTACTTAAAGATAGCTTCCTTTGAATTCCTTTGAAGTTTGAACACCTTAATTATTTATTTTTTGAAAGACTAGTCATATGTACCCATGTGATGCCTGAATTGTATAATTTTTTAAATTTTTAATTAAATTAAATGTAATTTTCAAGAAAATTATTGTCATTTATGTTTGTGTTTGTGTTGCTTTAATTTAAATAATTTGCTTATTTATTTTTAATTAAAAAATGAAAAATAAGATTATAATTTTTTAAAATTCTCAAATAATGAACTGAAATATTAATTAGCACAATTAATTATTGTAAGTAAATTATTGTAATTCAACTGATACAGTAAATTAATTATTTTTTTTCTCTTTAAAATTCCTCTTTAAAATTTCATATATTCAAATTAGATATAATAAAAAAAATGAATGTATAAATTTAGGAATTGAAATTAATATTTTAAATTCCTATTTTGTTTAATGTAGTTAGCATTTATTTAATTATTTTTATTTTATTAACTATGACTCTATTATAACTCCGTTAATTTTTTTATTGAAAAAATCTATTTAATAAAAACTTAATATTTATTAAATGTAAAAAATATTAATAATAATGAAATCATCTAAGTTTGTAACTCCATTATTTAATAGAAAATTTTAATTTTTATTAAATGCAAAAAGATATTAATTATAAAGGAAAAGTAAAATGCCATAACATCAATTTCATATTTTAATATGTTGCCACATAACTATTTATACTCTATAAATTATATTTTATATAGATCTAAATAGATAGATAGATTGTGAGGACATAGTAATTGTACTTTTGTTAATTGAATATAGGACATAGGGCATAGATTGTGATGACATTTTTAGATTGGATAATTTGAATATACTACATTGGTTTTGTTAATGTTGACACTTTTTGACTTTTTTTTCTTCCATTTAGATGATAGTTCTAGAAAATAAATATGGTATTAATTGTTTTATTCCAACTTTTCTCTTGCTTAGCTAATTCAATTAGTTTTTTAATTCATGTGAACAGTCAGCAAAAATATGAAAATTAACAAAATAAATATAATAACACATCAAAAGGATATTGTTTATTCTCTTCGTTACCTTAAATTTGACAGTTTTTTACTTTTTACAAGAATTAAAAAACTGTCAATTTTAAAAAAAACGGAAGGAGTAATTGTTTCCTCATAGGCTCTAATTATAGGCTTTGAGTCGCAATAATTTAAGGACAGGTAGTAGTACTTTGAATCAAAAGCTCTTCGATAAATTATGGTTTATCTCATAATTTGGTGTTTCTTTTAGAGTGAGAGAAGTGTACACCTTGTCTGACATGATCATCATTCTCTGGAATGGCAATTGGAACATCACCCGGGGTAGGGCCAGCAGGTAATTCCACAGGAATACCTTCCATAAATTTGAAAAATATCAATTACATGAAATAATTATTATATTTATTTAGAAATTCAATCAGAAACTAAGATTTTAAAATTCAAAACCTACAATCTTTAAACAATTTTGCAATTAATCTGAAAGAATAAACGAAGAGAATGCAAAATAACTGAAAAAAAAAAAAAAAAGGAAGATAGAGAAGAAGTACTAACAGGAATATATCCATCGTTTCCAAAAGACATATCGGTTGCCGCTCGGGAACAAATGACTCAGACCAGAAAATTGGTCTAGCGGTGTGTTTCCAAGTTGTGTTCGTGTCGTGGCTAAGCTTGGGCCACGCTGCAGCAAATCCAAGGATATATCTAACACAAATAAAAAGATTTAAATGAAGGTTTATAATAAGAAAATGAAATTTTAGTTTGCTTCGAACTCTTGCTTACCAAACATTTCTCTGAAAAATGAGACTACAAGAAGAGAAGAGCCGAAGGTTCCATTTTCCGGAAGCAGTATATCAAAAGGAGTGACAGAATATAAATACTGAGTTGTTTCCTTATGGCCATTATTACATGCCACTGTTACTGGGAGATCATCGTCTGCAATAGTAACTAAATCCATGGTCTTTCTCAGCATGCATTCAGCAATTTTTGTTGCTCCAGTAGCAGCAGCGCCAATAAGAGCAGTCTCATTCCGCTTGTCAACCGCAAGTACGTCTTCTACTGACATTAACTCCACCAAAAACTCCACAATATTTAAGTTTCCAGTCATTGTTGCAAGATGAAGCGCTGTTTCACCAAAACCTGTAACCTTTCTGTGCACTGCATCTGGGCAAAGATTAACGAAGGTTTTCACAGCATTAAAATCACCTTTATCTATAGCCTCTCGTAATGGCTGAAACTGAAGGTACTCGTCCTTCTCTGTTCCTGTCATATTTTATCAACTTATTATACCTCTCGTTCCATTAAACACTTTTGGATTTTCAATTAAGAAAATATTAAATCATCTTAGTTCTGGAAAGGAAGACTTTTTTTGGCTGAAAGAATGTATTAGGAAAATATCAAATGATATTTTTTTTCCAAGCCTACGTCAAATTTGTATTTTTTTTTTTAATTTGAAAATTATACCTCTCGTTCCATTAAACACTTTTTGATTTTTAATTAAGAAAATATTAAATCATCCTAGTTCTGGAAAGGAAGACTTTTTTTGGCTGAAAGAATGTATTAGGAAAATATCAAATGATATTTTTTTTTTCCAAGTCTACGTCAAATTTTGTATTTTTTTTTTTTTAATTTGAAATATATTTTAACATTTTCCTTCATTTTTTTTTCATCCAATATTTTTTTCCTCTCCTTCCAAACAAAGCCTAAAACTCTAACTTCTCTTCCATTTTATTCCCATTGTCTCTTTTGCTTCACTTTAATGAACTTTTCCTCACCCCCATCGAAACTAGAGCCCAATTTCAAGTCAGTATGGATATGTTTGGATAAGGTTAATTAATCAATTGAGTTTGAGCAATTGTTTGATAAAGCCCTTTTCTACATATAAAAATTAAAAAATATTACCTTCATCTACCGATTCTGTCTGTGATTCCACTTCCGATGACGCCAATTCAGTTTCTTGTTCCTGTGTTTGGTCTTTTGATGACTTTCTCTTATTCATTTTGGCTAAAGTTTTCCAGCAAACTCTAGCAGAATCAATGTATCTTATTTGGGAAAGTTTGTCTGGTAGGCATGAAATTTGAATTGCATGTAAAGCAGCTGCATTCTTCTTTCTCCAACCATTAAATTCACCTCTATCCTCCTTCTCACTAGGACGTTTAGTGGTTGCTTCAACAATATCCCAAAGGTCGTTGGCCAACAAATAGTTCTTCATGCAAGTACTCCAATTTGCATAATTGGAGTCTCCTAGAAATTCAGGAACAATATTTGATGATGCCATGCTCAAATCTGTCAATTATGCAAAGCAATGTTAAAAGGTTAGATTAAAAGATGCTGATCTACGAAACAAGCCAATTACCTTTTTTGGCCAGAGTGAATAGGTCAGAATTATTATCTCAAAAAGACAGTATTTTTCATTGGTTTGGTCATGGGTGGGTCCATAATCCAGTCAAAAAATTAGCTTAACTGTTTAATGCCCGAAGCAAGAATTAGATGCATGCTTGAGTTCACACGTCATTGTATGTTAACAACACTAATGTTGTCTAAGCTTCATTTTACATTGTCTGAAAAAAGATTAATAATAAACAAGTTCAAAAACTTCAAAGTTTAGACATAATAATGGAATCAAAAGCTTAGATGCCTGTGTTCCGAAGAATGTTGTATGCAGAAAATAACAGGAAGAAGTATATAAAAGAGAAGTTATAAAGAGAGGAGGAGAAAAAGAAACGAGACGTAAATTCAAAAAACTTACCTAAATCAATAACTAAATAACATTTTGTAATTTTTTATTTAATTTCCACAACTCTTAACTTAAGCTCAAGTGGCTTGGGATAAAATTATTGACGCAATGAATATGAATCACGCCGACAAGAGAGGGAAAAAAATACATAAATCCAAAAAGGAAAAGTTCATTGGAATTAAATGCTTTCACTTTTCTTCTTTCCTTTCTTTCTTTCTTTTTGTTCTTCGCTTTTTGTGTTCCATCAATTGGAGGATTACAAATAATTGATTGACATCTATTCACCACGTACTGAACCAAAGTGTGCACTAATTCATCTTTCGCTTTATTACTGTTTTTTTTTCAGACTTTTTTGCTTCTCTTATCTTTTCATATACAATTAATTGATTGATTCGTGTCCACTTTTGTTGCTATTTCTTTTTTTCTTTTGAGTGTACGTATCTCATCCATGAGATTGGTAATGGAGTCATTATTGGTTTTAAATGGAATAAAATGTGCAATGGAATCGATATTATAATATTTTTAACGAACCGAATCAAGTTTAAATGATTAAAGTAATAAATAATTAATTTGAAATAATATCTATTATCAAATCTTTCACAAGTAAAATTAGAAATTTTTTATTCATTAGATTGTCGTAATTCATAAATCGTCTAATTGTAGTCTTTAACAATATCCTTACCGATTGACAATGAAAAAAATATAAAATTATTTTTAGAGAATTTGAAAAGCAAAAAGTATTTTGAATTCTAACTCAAAATACGCTTATATTATTTTGGTGGCTATAAAAGTCAAGTCTACACTCCATATAAGAGACTATATATAGAGGAATGCGGGAAGTACTCATAATATATCCTAGTTAGAAATTATTAATTTAATCAATTAAATAAAATTATTAATTTAATCAATTAAATAAATAAATTATAATTAATTCACCTTTTAAAATATCTTATATTTAAACCCAATAAGTTTTAGAAACGTTTATTCTGAGTCCCTATTTAATATTTTAGATCAAAATTATATTTTTTATAAAATTTTACTTAAAACTTATTTTTTTTCTCATTTTTAATTTTTCATATCAATCGTTATACATGTGCCCCATTACGTTCCAAATATAATTAATTAAATTTATATTTGAAAGTTAAAAGTGATATCTAGCACCATAATAAGACTATCCAAATATTTGAAAAGTCTACAGTAGGTTGACTTAACCTTTTAGTGAATGATCTCTCAATATATTTAAGATCTATTCATCAATAATATTTTGATTTATTTCATTTAAGCATGGAACATGTCAGGTAAGTTAAATTATATTAATTCTTTTAGCAATAGTTATTGATTCATTGAATAAGATTTCAAATCCAATTTACTAATTTGATTCAATTTGTGCAAGTGAATTTATGATCAATACTGGTTTTGAAAGCGTGTCTTTAGCCTTGCCTGATCCATGAGGATACGAGCATATATGAATGAGGGGATAATGCTATCTAGAAGTCTTTTAATCGAAGGATTTAAATTAAACCGATTTTAAGTTTTTGGTTGGGTCAGAGTTGCGTCACGCAGCTAAGCAGGTGCGTGACGGCACTGTCAGCTGCGTCACACAGCTCTAATCCAACGTTACCAAAAATGCTGACATAACGGTTTTTTATTCTATCTGAGCGACACGTGGCTGTGGTCCAGAAAGGAAGCTGCGTCACGCAGCTAACAGATCCGTCACGTAGCCGTAAGCTGCGTGACGCAGCTACCTTTGCTGCCCTACATACTATAAATTGATCTTTTTCTCTCGTTTGAAAAAAAAAAAAGGGCTTTTGAAAAACACACTTTTGGCTACATTTTTCTCCAGAGACTCTTCTGAGTTCATTTGAAGAAAAATTGCCATTAGATATCAATTTAGATAAAAACAAAATCAATAAAAACAAAATCATAAAAAAGAAATAAATCAAGAGAGAGAAGAATAAGTGTTTGAATCCTTGGTGACAAAGCTTCTGGGAGACCTTAACTATCATTTTTTAAGGCATTTAAACCATTTACAATCCTCAATCTGAGGATTAGGTAACTCCTTTAACCTTTCCTTGTACTTTTATTTATTTTTTAGTAGTTTAAGCTTCTTTAAACTGTATTATGTTCATCTTTGGTCATTTTAGGTTTTCTTAAAGCATATTTAGATAAAAAATGATCTAAACAAATTATTTGAAAAATAAGATTAGGCCAGAGCAGTTGCGTCATGCAACCAACGGACCCGTAACGGATCTGGAAGATGTGTGACGGAACTGTTCATATCCCAAAATTTTATTTCTATACCCAGTGTTGGGCCAGAGCAGTTGCGTCACGGAACCAACGGATCTGGAAGATGCATGACGGAGCTGTTCATATCCCAAAATTTTATTTCTATACCCAGTGTTCGGCCAGAACAGTTGCATCACGCAACCCACGGATCCGTAACGGATCTGGAAGATGCTTGACGGAACTGTTCATATCCAAAATTTTATTTTTATACCCAGTGTTCTATTTTCCAGATTACGGATTTAAAATAAGTTTCTAATGGATCTGGAGTTTTAGGGACAGATCCATCACGGAACTAACAAATCCGTCACAGAACTAGAAGATCTGTGACGCAGCTGTTCTAAGATTCCAGAAATAATTTTTATTTTTTTTAAAAAAAGTATAATAAATTTTGCACAAAATAAAGTTTAATTTCTCCAATAAATCTGAAGATGTCCAATTATGAACAGATTGCAATTTAATTAAGTTTAGAGTACTTTAATTAAGTTTAGAGGTACTAAAAAGTAATTTTGAGTGTATTTACTTGTAAATGATTTTACAAATTTTAGGTTCAATGGAAAAATGAAATTAAAGTTTATGGGTTTGTTAGCTAATTTTGCATGTTTATGGATTAACATTAAAGAAAATAAAATGTAATTACTTGTATGAATTTTACAATTTTAGGTTCAATGAAAAATGAAATTAAATTTATGGGTTTGTTAGTAATTTGCATGTTTAGGATTAAATTAAAAAAATAAAATGTAATTTAGGTGCTAAATAATAAATGCATGATTTTGGTTTTTGGGTTTAATTTTGAATCGGGTAGAATGCATTTTAGGTTCGATTTGTTGCTCGCCTTGAACCATAAGGCAAGAGCGGCTCTTTTATTTATTCGATTTAATTGCTTTGGTTTAAATGATTATAAATGCGATAATTGGATTTGATTGGGAAGATTAAGTAATTTTCCATATAAATGTATTTTTCATTGATTTTGACCAAACCCATGCTTAGAGATATGTTCAGAGGAAATACAAAATCTCTAGGACTACATGGATGTTAAATGTATTTTTCATTGATTTTGATCTTTATGACCTTTTTTTCGCCTTTTTTATTAATAATAAGACTTGTTGCGTTTTATACATACATGAGCATGAATAGTTTTTATACATTTACTGTTATTGATTTGTTAAAGGCATGTTAGGCAGATATATGATTAACCTGCTCACATGGATAATCATCTTTATTTATCTATATGATAAATAAAGGTAAGACTGTTTTAAAGCAGATTGTTTGACTGATAATGAGGAGAGCTTGTGCTTAAAAGCGATCAAGTCAACTCATTGTGAGAAATGAAATATACAAAACATGATGGTGTTATGCAGCAAAAAATATTTATAAGTACATTGAAATCTGTCTTAGTCACCAGATGTGAGTTCTTAAGTGTATTGAGTAGACTAGTGAACTCAAGTTAGGCATTGAGTGTGTCTAAACTATCATTTGCCTAGTGTTGCTAATTAAATCTTTATTTTAGTAGACATGCCATGTGTAAGGAGAAAGAATAATACTATGACATGTGCGAAATGACGACCAAATGAGTTGCCAAGGTATACGATCTCAACTTTGGCTGTGTGAAATTCTTTGAGAATAATAGTTCTCTAAACTAGTATCATTATGACTTTTGACTGATTTTTAAAATATAATACAGGGATTACTATCTGAGGGTTTTACCAAAAAATCATGAATGATGCGATTGTATTGGACACTTATAGAGAAGCGAGTTGAACTATGATCGAGAAAATTAATTTGAAGGGAAGATTATTTTGCGGTCACATTTAAGTTTTGTGTCACAGGTTGACCAAATATGTTATGAGTAAACATAATTGTGAATATGAAATATGTTATGAGGTCAATGGTAACAATAAATGTGATAAATAAAGTGGAAGTAGTGCATACTTTTCTACTTAAAAGAGTTTTTTTTCTCATCGAGATGCTATATATCTCTAACAAGTATATAGCAAAGAACTCTCAAAGTATGTTGGTCGCATGATCTATCTACTGAGTATGAATGTCTAACTATGGACCGGTCAAGTCTCGTCATGTGTGAGTAGGAGATGTTCGAATTAATGGACAGATATAGGTGCGTCCATGACTAGCGTTTTAACCCAGATCCATTAATAATAATTAATGTGTTTAATTATTAATAATATTTAAATAAGTTTAAATATTATCCTAATTGGCTATAATAAAGAAGTTTGAGTCATGGTAGGATTACACGAATCGGTGGTAATCCAACTATAACAAAAAGGCAAGAGAACACCTTCTCTGTTACACCTTTGACAAACAAACAGAAAAACTTTCTCTCGTTATCTCTTTTTTCTCTCGTTTATATTGCTAAGACAAAAGGCTTTTAGACCGTGGACAAGGGAAGCAGTTTGTTAATTTGTGATTGCTTCTACGATAAGCAAACTTGTAACATAAAGTAAAAGGTTTTTTATCCGCTACGCTACAAGAGGTATGTATTCAACCCACCCACTTTTACATATCATGTATAGGTATACGATAATGTGATTCTAACAATCACTTTGAAAATATGTTCTTGATATTTGGCTTAAGATTAATCTAAAATAAATTTTTAGATCAATTTACCTTGCCTTAAATT